AGTCCCCCCCAGTCACTCAAGTCCTTCCAGCCGAGGCCCAGACACCGTGGGGCGGGGACCATCTGGCTCGCTGGGCCCCTCCCCGTCCTCACCTACAGGCTCTGTGACTGGCAGCTTAGGCCTCTAGGTTCCATGGTGACGTATTACAAGCAATCGCAAACCACACCAAGGGCAAGTGGCATGGATCCGAGACATGTGTGTCACCTCCACCAAACGGGGGCCCCTGAGCAGCACAGGAGCACCCCCTGTCTGGGCACCCTCAGAGGCCAGCCCCAGGGAGATGGTGGGCCCAGTGAGCAGAAACGGTGGGCGGGGGACACACCACCAGCTGGCATTTCAAGAGGGGGCACTGCAGCTGCTTAGAGGGGCTGGGACGGGCAGAGGAGTGTTGGGCCGGTGTAGTTACGGGGCTGCCCTGCAGCCATCTCCGCCAAAGGCTGGGCACACACAGGCCCCATGTTTCGCGGGTCCAAGGAGGCGGACCCTGATTTGGTCAGCGCAGCACAGACAGCAGCTGCAGACCTGCCCCAGGCCCCACGAGACCCCAACTCCACCGGCACGTCTAGTCCCCGAGGTATCATTATTCCCGCTCCTTAGATGAGATAGTCGGGGCCCAGAGAAGAGAAGGGGTTTGCTGATGCCACCGAGTTCACGAGAACCGGGCCCCAACGTGAGGTCATCACACTTGGGATTCTGCACCTTGGCCAGCACACCAGAGGCCGGCCTGACACGGTCATAGCCCGGGAGGTCAGGGATTGCCAGGCTCACTGTCCACTGCATTCCTGAAATACACCAGCCCGATTTCTGCAACTGCAGAAGGAAAGGAATGTCTGACCAAGGAGGTGGGAGGCGAGGTCTCCAGTGGAGTGACGCAGGGCTGTGTCCTGGAGGCAGACCCGGCACCAACGCAGAGCGGACCCCTGCTGGGAGCAGCGGAGACAAACCCAGGGACCTCTCTGCGTGGCTGAATGAAAGTCCTACACGTGGACTTAAAAATCCACTGTGGACGTTTTGTTCAGCAATTCCCATGAAAAGGTCTGAGGGCCCTGGTGGCCCCCAGCATGCTATGGGTCTTGGGTCTGTAGGCCCAGATCGAGAGGCGAGGAGAAAGCCTTCCGTCCTTAGAGCTGTTCTGCCCAACTGGAGGTGAGCTGGGCAGAGAGCTGAATCACCAGCTTCCTGTTCACATCCCAGGAGGTGAGAGAGGCCCGAGGAGGGAGAGAGGTCAGCGCGGTCGGTGGCATCAGAAAAGGCTTCCTGGACGGGGTGGGATGGGCTGCACCCTGATGAGGCCAGGGCAGACCTCAGGGGCGGGGTCTCAGGGACCAGAGCCCCCATGGCCTGCAGCAGTCATGGGAAGGCTTTGGGCAGCAGGGCCCAGGCCCCCCATTCAGCCCACACCCACAGGCCACTGCCGAGGGCGTCCCGGACAAGGTGTCACCCCTCCCCAGGCCCATGCGGGGGCCTGCCTGTCTGCCCAGCCCAGCAGCTGGGGGCTGGGCGGGAAATGCCCAACCTCAGGGTGAGTCACCGCTGATTCAGCCACCTCGGCCGGGCGAGGTGAGGCCAGGACTGTCCACTGCAGGCCCAGCAGGGCGTGTGGGCACCGCCTGTGGCCGGGACCACCAAGCTCCCCTGGCCAGGTCACTGCACGGCTTGGAGAGCTGTCACCCCCATTTTACAACAGGGAGCTGGGGCTCAGAGAGACGCACGGTTGGAACTTGGTGCAGCCACGGGAAGCCACTGAGCTTGCAAGGGCCGCAGCGGGAGGGTCCGACGGCCACCTGCTGGCTCCTGGACTCAGCACAGCTCTGACCTCCCAGTCCTCTGGCCACCGGTCCGGCCTTCATGCACTGGTGTCCCTGAGGGCGCCAGACCACCTCCCACTGCCGGGAAGGGAGTGAAAGGGCAGAGTATCGGTAACGGGGTGAATGGATTAACGAGCCTGGAGTCCAGGGCTCCCGGGCGGCCGTCCCCCAGCAGGGTGGCCACTAACGCTCGGGCTGGGCCACCAGTATCCCCAGGCCACCCACCTCCCCTGCCCCCTTAGACACCAAACTCTCTGTTCTCCTTCCCTTTCCAGGAAAACAGACCGGGTGCCCTTTGCCCAGTTCCCTCCATGGAGCACCTCACAAAGCTCTAGTGCGATGCGTGCCCCAGACCCTGACCCTGATCCAGTCACGAGCATGTCACCCGCCACCGCAAGGACCCTGGGCGGCCTTTCTGCAGCCACGCCCCCTCCCCACCTCCACCCAGGCCCCGCCTCTCTGTGACTTGTCCTTTCAGGGGTGTTCCATGTGCAGAACTGCCCAGCGTGCAGCCTTGTGGGGTGGCTTCTTGCCCAGCACAAGCCCCTGGGGGGCACAGGCTGCCGTGCCCACAGCTGGCTCCTTTTCCTGGCCGAGCAGTGCCCCGGGGCGTGGGGGCCACGCTTGCTTCTTCTCCCACTGAAGGAGTCTGGGTGTCTCCAGCTTGGGGCTCCCGGGGCGAAGCGGCCAAAACCTTCACGTACAGGTTTCGTGTGAGCGCGTCTTAGAACCGGTGTCTGGCTGCGGTGGCTGGTCAGACGGTGGCTGCGTGTTTAATTCAGCTTTGTTTTTTGAAGAAGCCCTTTTCCCGCCTCTGCTGTTCGGCCCTCCCGCCAGCCGGTGTGAGTGTCCACGTCATTTCGTCCTCGCCAGCACTAAGTGTTGTCACCATTTTTTATCTCAGCCACTCTGAGAGGTGTGCATGCGTTTCCCTGGGGGTGACATGCGTCTCCCCTGCAGCTCAGGGTTTGCCCATTTTGGTGGCGTGTGCGGCTTTGCCACCTCTGCTTCCTCAGTGCCAGGCCTACCTGGGTCCTCACTGGGTGGTTTGTTTTGTTGAGTTTTACGAGTTCTTTCTCTATTGTAGGCGTGAGTCTTTGTAGGACACACGATTTGACAATATTTCCCCCAGTTCTCATTTTCTTCACAGGGTCCTTTGCTGGGCAAACATTTTTAATTTTCAGGAATTCCAAATTACCCATTTTTACTTTCATGGATTGTGCTTTGAGAGTCAAATCTAAAAACAATTTAACCGTGAGCTGTTCTGAGTTCAGTTTTGTATGAAGTGTAAGCCTTTGGTCAGTTTCTTTCTTTTTTTTTTTTTTTTTTTTTTTTGGCCTATGGAAGAGGGAGGCTGAATTTTCCCAAAGTTCCCTTCTCCAACTCTTAGTTCATTCACTTCTTTTATTTATTCAAATACTTATGGAGGCCCACAGGTGTGTGAGCAGCCCCGCCAGCCCTCCTGGGGCTCAGTGACCGAGGCTGCCCCGGCCACACCCTGACTCTTCCCAGAAGCTCTCAGGATGGGGTGTCCATGTCAGGCCCCCCAGAGCTGTCGAGAGGAACGGGGCTTCCAGGCGTGCGTCCCACACGGCGCCCCTGGCACCGCCCTGGGGGCCATAACGGGCAGCAACAATCGCCCAGCTTGTAGTCTCAGGCCCACACAAGAAAGATGCTCTCACCAGCCCCACAAGACCGGGTCTGTGCCTGCCTGGTGCCCAGCTGGCGGCTGCTCCTGCAGCCGCCAGCCACAGTCCCACCAGCCCCAGCCGGGCAGGCAGTCGGGGACCAGAGCCCTCTCTCCAAGGAGGGTGCACTGCTCCCAGCCCCGGGACACCCAGGGTCTCCAGGAGAGGAAGCCCTGAGTTCTAAGCAGCACAGAACGTGGCATTGAGATGGGCAGAGCTGGCTTCAGGTCCCAGGGGGCCTCTGTACGAGTTTCCTGTGGCCGCTGTAACAAAATGCCACAAACTCTGGCTCCAAGTCTGGAGGGTGGAGTCTGAAATGTGCCTGCAGGGCTGCATCTCCTGTGATCCAGTTAGGTCCCACACCTGCTCCAGGATCTAGCCGCTGGGGATGGCAGGAAGTGGTGGGCACAGGCCCGTCAGGGCTCCGGCCAGCCACTGAGGGTGAGGGGCCTGGATGGTGAACACCCCCTTCAGCCTCGAGCTTCTCATCTGTGAAAGGGACTCACGGCTGAACTCGCCTCCCTTCAGCTGCGATTGTCACTGTCCACCATGTCACAGCACTGGGTGCACTGGGACGGCAGAGACGGTTCAGGTGCCCCTGGCAGGGGGCAGTGTGATCCTGCAGCAAGACCCCAGCCTTGGGGGCTGTTCATATTCTCTGACATCCTCCCTTCAAAGGACTCAGCCCAGTCCTCTCCCCTGAGCGTGGACTGGACTTGGTGACCTGCTTCTAATGAGGAGAATGTGGCCAGAGACGGTGTGGATTCTGGGACCAGGTCATCAGGTCACGGCAGCCTCTCCCATTGTGGGGAAGCCAGACGCCACGGGGTGCGGAAGCCCCAGGAGAGGCCCAGGGGCCGGGAACTGAGCCTCGCGCCAACAGCCACGGGCGCCACCAGGAGGCGGAGCCTCCGGCCCCCGTCGAGCCTTCAGATGACGCAGCTGCACAAGGGACCCGCGCCAGCAGCAGCCAGCCAAGCGGCCCCGGTCCTGACTCCAGAAACTGTGGGATGACAGTGTGTTGATCTAAGCCACACAGGCTGGGTGGTCGGTTTGCAGCAAGACAAGGGAGAGGCTCTCAGCTCCAGTCCCAGCACTGGGCCCCTGAAACCCGCCCCTTGACACCCGCCCCACGCTCCCTCCCGGGAAGTTGTTGACCCCTCAGCCTTTGTCCCCAAAGTCGCTCCCTCAGCTCCACACACACCAGGTGCCCACTGGGCTGGCTCCCGGGACCCCTCAGGGACATTCCCGCGTCTGCTGCGTTCACCATCTCAGGGTACGAGACGGCCCCAGAGGCAGCAGTCAGCCTGACGGGCAGCCCGACCGGCGCTTCCAGGCCCAGGAGGTGCTGTGCCGAGGTCCACGCAACGCAGAGCCACACTGGCACCGGGGTGGCCACCAGCCTGGAAGGTGTGCATCGAGCACTGAGACGTGCCCATGATTTGCATGTGATGAAGTCACACGACATGAAAGGCATGGTTTCAACGACTCGGCACTAAGCATGACATCTCTCATTAATCTCTCTGTATTGATAATGTGTGGAAATGGGAATATTTTGGATAGGGTTAAATAAAACACATTATTAAATGAGTTACTGCACAAACGGTTGGTGCAGGGGCTGCGAGGGGGCGGGGGGGGCAGTTAGAGTTTAATGGGGACAGAGTTTCAGTTTGGGACGATGGAGTTACAGGGACAGATGGTGGTGATGGCAGTGTGAATGCCTAATGCCCCAAACTAGACATTCAAAAATGGTGGAAATGGTAAGTTTTATGTCATGAATATTTACCACAATAAAAAAAAACAACGAGAAAAACCTTCCATTAATGCTTTCAGATGAAAATGCCCAAGTAGTGAGGCACTTCATTGCACATTTAATGGCGCATGCAGCACTGAGGACATCGTGATAAACGGTGGGGGGATACATGTCACAGAAGCATCCACAGGCCGTGGGGTCCGCTCCCAGGCAGCCCCCAGACATGGCCAGGAAGGTGCCAGATCGGGTGCACAGCACTCTTTCCACTCTACTTCAAGTCACCAGAAGCTACCACGTGGCCCAAGCCCGCCAATGGGGCTCAGGCTGTTGGATTGAGGGTAATTTTATGGGACTCAACGGACCGACGACTTGGGCGTATGGGGCCCAGGCCGCCTGCCCCAAGGGAGACACATGTGCCGGAGGGTGAGTCACAGGGGCTCTGGTTCCAGCGCATGTCTGACGGAATCCCTCCTCTGGCCCCTCTTCACCAGGCCTCCCAGAAGCGGGTCCCCCGACTACGAGAGAACAGCGCTCACCGGGTCTCGGAAAGCCCAGCCTCACACGGTGTCTCCTTCCCGTCCTGGGCGTCTTCGGCCCAGCGAGGGTGGCGGGGGTATCTGCCTGTCTGGCAAACTGGCCAGTGTCCCGGACCACCCGACATGCACTGTAAACATCCACGTGGGGTCAGGACCTGACTGGGGGTCTGCCTCCTCTCTGAGGTGGGGATCGACTTGTCATCAGAGGCCCTCCCAGCCCTGGCACCTTCCACAGGGCCGTGGGAGGGAGGGGCCTGTGGGACACCCCCTTGGACAGCACTGCCCTAGGTTAGACTGCAGACCTGGTGACCTCACATCACAGAGCCCTGCTGCCTGGCCGGCCTCTGGAGAGGAGGGTGACAGAGTGGTGTGGCCCTCAGCCTCCCCTCGGCTCCAGCGGGACCTGGCCAGTCCCCGGGACAGGGCCGCCTGGACTCCCACAGTCCGACCCCTCAGCCATGGGGGTCGCCACGTGCCATCGTCCCCCAGAAGATATGGGCAGAGGGAGGGTTCCCTGAAAGGAGCCCAAGCAGGCGGAGAGAAGCAAGGGGCGTGGGAATCGGGGCGGGGCCTCCTGGGCCTCCGTTCGCCGTTTGTGTTGAACTGCACAGGTGACTATTTTATTCCAAATGTGAGAACGGAGGGAGGGGCTGTCCCCACGCTGCTGGGACACCAACCCCCCCTCCCCATCCCCCCACTGTGGCCTCGGGGACACAGACGAGTAGCCAGCACACAGGAGCCGGGCGGGCGGCAGGGCGGGCGGGCTCAGACGGTGAGGGAGATGAAGCTGTTGTAACGTTGGATGTTCCTCTTCAGGATCTCGGAGCAGGGGCCCAGCACACGCTCAAAGCGGGGCCGGTCCAGCTTGACACACTTGAGGGGCCCCCGGGCCACCACGGTGGCTGCCCGCGGCCGGTTCAGCAGCAGTGCGATCTCCCCTGGGGGTGAGACAGAGTGGCCGGTCAGGGGCCTGGCCTGGGGGCAGGGTGGCCAGGGTGGGGGAATTCCAGCCAAACCCCAGGCGCTCGCTTAGCCTTGATCCCAGTAAAGAGCAGGCGTTTGGTGCGTGAAGATTTGGGGACATTCACACTAACGCCACTCCTTGTTAAAATGATGTTCAAAGGTAGCATCCTGTCGGTGACCCCGTGTGCCTTAGTGAGGCCCTGCCCTCCTGGGGACAGTGGGCCGCCAGGGCCCACGGCTCCGTGGAGGCCTCGTGCCAGGCTCAGATGCCCCTTCCTTGGGCCCCTGCGAGTGTCCACCTCAGGCCCCTTCCAGGGACGCCAGCGAGCAGGCCCGGCCACGTGTGGGAGGGGTCCCCACTCACCGAAGTAGTCGGAGGGCCCAAGGCGTCCCACCTCCACGTACTCCTCATTGGGGGACCGGCGCTGGAGGACAGAAGCCGTGCCCTGCAGATGCCAAGGGGACACGTGAGGGGAGGCTGTCCCGGGGTCACCCACGATGGGCTCCCTGTGAGGGGGCGCTGCCCGAACCCCCCTCCCGCTGGCTCCCTTCTATGCACTTCCTAAACCGAATCCCCATTTTTCTCCTCATGAACGGAAGGCGTGGGGTCACAGAGCTCACTGCCCTGCCTGCTCTGCCGTCCTTGGTGGGAGCTCGGAGCACGCAGGCTGGTGGGTGGCAGCGGGGAGAACATGGCTGCTCCCGGCTGACCTTGGCGAGCTCTCAAGGACTGGGAGCGCGTCCAGCGCTGGGGAGCGGAGAGCGGGTGGCAGGGTCACACACCCCAAGCGATGTGGCCCCTCCCGACCCCAACAGGGGCGCGTCTGCAGACCTTGCCCGAATCAATGATTAACTGCAGGCCATGGGGACCAGACAGAGCCCGGAACGCGTGACACAAGAAAGTCTCCGCCTTCGGTGGTGGGACAGCGGCCGGGCAGCTGGGGCATGCGTGTCGGGGGGAGGGGGGCACAGGTTTCTAGGGGGCTCCAACTGCGGGCTCCCTTCCCTGTCATGTAACTCGGGCGAGTCCCTTGTTTGGGGGCCCTGAGGCTGTGCCACCCCTGGCAGGAGCCTTCCCATCGCCTCAGCCCGACGTGAAGCCTGAGCAAGGCCATGTAAACAGCCACGGCTTGGGCCCCTCCCTGGTGTCCATGACCGTCACTCACAGCTGAGCTCCCACACGGCTGGCCTCAGAGCCTCTCAGGCAGGTCACAGCTCCCTGCACCCCGCCTTTCCCGGGGTGGCGAGTCCCCTTCACAGCTGAGGACACTGAGGCTCCAGGGGTGCCGCTGCTGTGAAACTGGGCTGCGCAACCCCCCCCCCCCCGGCACCCAGGGCCTCCGCGACGGGGCCTCCCACTGCCCTTTCGGCACCAGAAAGCATGATCTCGCGTCAAGGTGGGCTCGGTTCACCCCAGCTCACCGTGCCGGGTTAATGTGTAATGCCCACTGAACCACGGTCTGGGAGACGCAGGTCAGGAGACCCTGCTGGGGCCGCCGCCTGGGTCCCCCCAGCGGCCCCCTCCGGCCGTCTGGGGTGTTTATGGAGCTGCTGATGGATGGAGCAGGATGTGTAAACAGCAACGGCTCCTCCAAGCCCAGCCTCACCATCCGGCAGACAGGGCCGCTCCCTCGGGCTAGAGGGGTGGGGGCCTGGAGGGCATGTGTCCCTCCCCGAGCCCCAGAGAGAAACGGGGTCCTGGGCACAGCCGAGGGCTCACAGCCACCCAGCCCCGTGGTCCGCAGGAGAGACTAGGCCCTGTGCAAACGAGAGCCGTGGGGACAGGCGTGGCGCTCCCTGACGCCCGGCCACTGGCCTCCCTATCGTCCATCTATTATTTATGATGGATGTAATTTACAGCTTTTCCTCCCAGTTCAGACAAGTTTCCACTTGACACTGGGACGCTGTCCGTCTTCCAGGAACCCCGAAGCTCCCTGCTTTACACACTCGCTCAGCGGAGCCCCAGGCGGAGAGCCTGTGTCCAGACACTTGAGCCCCAAACAACAGGAAACCCGACTGGAGGCGGCTGAAGGCTGCTGAGGCTGACAGCCCAGTCGTGTGACGTGTGGTGGCAGAGCCGCCAGACGGAGGGGCCACGTGGGACAGAGCCAGGCCCGGCACTCAGCACGCCTCGTCCTCTCAGCCGCATGGCTGTGGGGGCTCCTTGTCCGGCGGCTTCGGCTGTCCCCCTGACACGCCATCCCCGACAAGAGGTCCCTTTCCTGTGACCGCTCTGCCCGCTGGACCCCAGCACGACGCCAAGCCTGATGGCGGAGCCGAGTCCCCACGACACAGGCAGCAGGCGTGACCGCCGCGTGCCCCGAATTGCCACCCGCAGTCCTGGAAATGAGCCTCCCGTCCGAGCTGCGTGTCCCAGACGGGCGTGAGAACAGCACAGACGTCCTCAGGGGACTGACTGCAAGCTGGAATTCTGGGGGCGGGAAAAATACACTTGCCGAAACTCCATTCCACATCTCCCCAATTTCTCACCTACTGATTCTAACCCAGCTCTAAAAATAAAGAAGGTCACGTACCCACAGAAGTGGCCTGTGAGGTCATGAGAAGAAGGTTGCTACCAGCAGAATTAGAAATGACCCGTTTTCCTGTAGACTTTTTAGATTTTTAAAAATTTTTCTACAAAATAAAAAACCAGAATCGACTGTCCAGTTTCTAAAACGGGCAAGTGTGACTTTGATGAGAAAGTAAGCACTCCAGGTCACATGAAGAGGGCTCACGGGGCGGGGTCTCCAGGGCTTCCGTTCTGACACGGCCTCCAGCCTGGCACTGAGGCCGAGGCCTTGGGCGCAGGGGCCCCTGACTGGGTCAGTCAGGGGACAGAGCTGAGCGAGACAGTGTCCACAGGCAAGTCCCGCCTGCCTCACCAGGACTTTTCACACATCCTCGTAGACCGGGCTTCCCTCACTTGCTGGTGCCAGGCATGGCCCAGGGCTGGCACGACAGCCAAGAACCAGGTGGGCACCAGCCTGGCATCAGCAGCCTGGTGGGCACGGACAGTCAGTTCTAACAAGAGCCGCGCCCCATGCCTGGCACAGCCCTGGCAGGTGCAGCGGTCTCGGACGGCCCCTGTGGGCACGAGAGTCGACGTCCCTGAGCCACACGCCGTTCATCACAGCCCAGGCTGGAAAACACCCCACACGCACCCAGGGGCAGGTCAGGACGTCACAGGCAGAAAGGCTCGAGCCTGAACCCCAGAGAGGCCCTGAGGTAACAGAGGCCACACAACGAGCACACACTCTGCTCCCACTTAGACGATGGTCTAGAAGAGGAGGAACTGTGTAAGAAAGTACATTTAAAAAGGAACTTAATATCACAGCCGTAAGTGGAAACCGGTATCACTTTCTATAAGTTAAAAAGCAACTAAAATGGTGAACACAAGGAGGCAGGTGCTGGAAAGGTGCTGAGGATGCACCAGCCCCGACCAGAGGTGACTTCACGACAGGACAGGAACGCCTGATGCAGTGATACAGACGAGGGGGAGCCTGTCCGCACTCTGGACAGCATGTCCCCACCGTCTCCTGACTCCAGCCAGGGTCCTGCATGTCCGCCCGAGCCTCAGTGGCCTGAGCTGCAAAATGGGTGCGTTCCCAGCCAACCTGACAGCGCTGGGTGAGGTCACGGGTCCTGGCTTCAGAAGCAGTCACACGCACATCACATGTGACAGAGCATCATGAAGACACGGACACTTGAGCAAACTTGAAGAGGGTGGGACAGGAAGTGCTGGTTCCCAGGGTGCAGTGCTCACGAGAGAGCCCCGCCCTGGACGTCCCTCAGACCCTGAGAGACAAGGCCATACCCACCTCGCCTTTATGTCTACGTGACTGCGACGTCTGACATTGTACTGAAGCAGAAGCAGACTGTACACGCATGCACCCCACACAGCACACGTACACACACATGCACCCCACACACAGCACACATGCACACGCATGCACCCCACACACAGCACACGTGCACACAGATGCACCTCACACAGCACACACAGCACACGTGCACACACATGCACCCCACACACAGCACACATGCACCCCACACACAGCACACGTGCACACGCACCCCACACACAGCACACGTGCACACGCATGCACCCCCCCCACACACAGGATTAAACAGCCTGCGCTTACTAACACCTCCCAGATAACTGTGACTTCTGAATAACTGAGCTGTGTCATACATTCTGAGACTCAATCGCTGTGACAAAAGCACTTCCTCCACGTGGAAGCCCCTCCCCCGGCCCACTCTGTCCTGGACACGACTCCATGGCGGCTCCGTGTTTGGGGCCCAGTGGAGCTGCCTCTTGTATGTTTGCTTGAGGGGGCCTGTGCCGTCCTCGCCACACGCTCTGGGCCACAAGCTGTCCTCAGAACAACTGCAAAAACACACTTGGCTGGTGAGCAGCCCGAGGCCATTTTCGTGCCAGCGTTTAATGGACCATCCGTGAAGTTGGGCCTTGGCGAGGGTTCAAACCTGGCTTCCATGGGAAAACAACACAAGTGGCATGGCTCTGGCGCCAGGGCCCAGAGGACAGGAACAGGTGGCATCGGGATGCCAGGCGGCAGAGGCCCCACTGCGTGGGGGAGCCCTCCCCAAACCCAGCGGCGGTGTGGGTTCCCTCTTGGGCCAGGCAGGGCCCACCGCGGGGGACGTGCCAGGGACTGCTGTGGGGGGGACGGGCTCCCCTCTGGGCGAGATGGGGGAGCACGGTCTAGAGCTGCTGAGGAGCCTCTGGGGGCCCCATGGGGGTCAGGTGGGTTGTCTCTCCCAGTGGATTGTTCTGGAAGTTGGGAAGCCAACACCAATCCTGGACTTGCTTCTACTGATTTGTCCCTCAGACCCAAAGCAGGGCGGTGACCGCAGGTGCAGCCACGCCTGCTACTCCGTCCCAGGGCCCCCAGGACAAGGCTGCCTCTGCAGAGCTGGGCACGTCACCCACTCTGCAGAGCGGGCCCGAGGCCACGCAGGGCATCTGGCTTCTTGGGCATCCCACCTTCTGCTCGGGGAGAGTCCGGTGCTTGGACAGGTCAAAGGCACTGCCCCGACTGCAGTGGCTGAGCCAGAGGTGAAAGGGACTCACAGCCGGCAAATTGATTTTTATCTCGCCTGGATTGCTGCTTAAAATTGGCCTGCAGCACACGGCAGGTGGACAGGGTTCCTGGGCCTGGCATCACCGTGACGCCTGGGGCATCGCGGGCACTGCCAGGTGGGACCTCAGCCCTGGCTCCGCTGAGCAGCTGTGGACATGGACTCTCGCTTCTCCCAGCCTCAGTTTCCCCACTGTCTTATAAATAAGACACCACTTGTCCTGACCTCCCAGGTTCTGGCCAGACTCAGGTGACATGATGGTGTGGCGCTGCTGGGACGCTGCCAGGGGTGTGACAGCCAAGGGGCTGGTATCGTCTGGATTCTTGGGCATTCCCTCTACGTTTTC